AAATAAATAAAATAAATAAAATAAATAAATAAATAAATAAAAATAAATAAATAAATAAAATAAATAAAATAAATAAAATAAATAAATAAAATAAATAAAATAAATAAATAAATACATAAATCTAGTTAATTAATTTAAATACAACGTACACTAGAAACCTGGACACATCTCTCAGGTGTGAGGATCAGAAATGCAAGGCAGCAGAGTTTAGCAGGTGACTCCCACTGTTTGCTCAGATATTTTACGCTGTAGCTCCAAGTCAAGATGAGAAGTTTCCCAAGACCCCCGCCCCCCCCAGCCTCTGGTCATCGGCCTCCAACTAAACCACCACAGAGAGGACTTCACTTTCACCCTGACGCCACGTTCAGACCACACCCTGATCCCTCACCCAGTGAGTAATGTAGAAACTTGGAATCGGTTGAAAACAGGAAGACTCATTCTGAAAGTTGCAGATCTGATCATAAATATTCACTTTCAGAGAGATGAACATAGTTAATTAGTTATCCAACAGTTGTCATATGAATCAGTTTTGGAGTCTAACTTTCCTGTGTGACATGTGGAGGAGGAAGAGGAGGAGGAGGAGGAGGAAGAGGAGGAGGGCTGTGTTCACCATATGTTGATCCCAGATTTGTTTTGCAGTTGTTTACAGGTTTGCCAAGATGTCACGTGGGAGTGGAGGTCATATATGCTGTCACAGTGTGTGTGTGTGTGTGTGTGTGTGTGTGTGTGTGTGTGTGTGTGTGTGTGTGTGTGTGTGTGTGTGTGTGTGTGTGACAGCTGAGCAGCTGCCAGTGTACAAGCAAAGGGTCTTTTAACTAATAGATATCACTATGAAACATCCTCAGTTGATTGAACATACGTGACAACTATCGTGCGTATTATACATTTTCTGAAAATGGTTTCATTACATATGCAAATGAGGCAATATCTTATTAAATGATCTTGTAAGATGCTCTATAAATACGCTTTGATATGTAGACAAAAACATCTGCCTTTAAATATATATGTATTGTCAAAACTCCATACATGTTGCAAGAAGGGTTTAAACAAAAGATATCACCTTAAAGAAAACTTAACAATGATGTTTTGTGTTACAAGTTGTCTTAAATGTTCTGATATTATAAATGAGGCATTGACTTATTAAATCATTTCATAAAATGCTGAATGATTTGTTAAAGGGGCCATGTTATGCTTTTTGCAGATATCACTATGAAACTCCCCCAGTTGTTTAATTAAATTAAAATTAGCATTTCTGGATTCACACGTCTTTCAAAAATACTGTGTTAACATGCAAATGAAGCATTGTCTTATGTTAACTTTTTTTGAATTTAGAAGAAATCTAGAGATGCAAAGTCGGTCAAATAAACACCTGAATGTGTATTTTGGATGTTTTCTTTGTACTAATCTGAGAGAAAACATGTTATGGAAGCAAAAATAGCCCAAAATCTAAAAACACAACTACTTTTGTTGCCTTTAGCCTCGCCTTGTAAGTATATGTCTTGTTTTCGTTATTATTAGCAACATTTTATTTTTTCTACATCTATTTAGACGTCTGCCCCACTTCTTCTTCCTTTTCTTTGCCATCCTCACGTGTACTCTGTCAACAGCCTCGCAGTGTTTTCCTGCCACAGCTCTGAGTCTCTTCACGCCTCTGTAGCTCTACAAGCAAACACGCTGTAGTTTCGGTGGCGTTGTGTAACGGCAGCGCACGCGACCACAGCGTCGTCCAACCAGCTATTAACGCACAGCCAAACTGCTCCTGCTATTTGTGTTCAAAGTGAGGATCTTAAATAAGCATGTCGCGTGTAAATAAACGGACTCCGAAGAACCGATGTTAGGCTGTAGTGTTTGGGAACCGCAGGTCTAATTGGTCAGGGAAAGAAAGAATTACAGAGTGATTCAGAGTTTCAACGCAAACAAGCAACATAACAGAGAAAGAGAAAGGTTTGTATCTGTTGTAAAAAGCTGTGTGTGTGTGTGTGTGTGTGTGTGTGTGTGTGTGTGTGTGTGTGTGTGTGTGTGTGTGTGTGTGTGTGTGTGTGTGTGTGTGTGTGTGTGTGGCTACGTACGTACGTACGTACGTACGTACGTACGTACGTACGGTACGTACGTACGTACGTACGTACGTAGACGTACGTACGTACGTACGTAAGTACGTACGTACGTACGTCGTACGTACGTACGTACGTACGGTACGTACGTTACGTTACGTTACGTACGTAACGTACGTACGGTAACGTAACG